CTGCTCAGTTCTCGGCAGTGCGATGTCATTAGCCTTTAGAGCACTCTTTAACTTTTCTTTTGTCAACAGATGCGGAGTGTTTGAGAACGCTGACATTTTGCAAAATACCTTTAAATTCACCAAAACATAAGCACGATTTTTTTACAAAAACAATCACGGAAGCAAAATTTTGCGAAAACGCGCCATTTGGGAATCCCCTTTGCGCATACGCTGTATTGTCAACCGCTGATGTCGCGTGCTCGCGCGAAGGCAAAATGGCGGATTGAGATCGGCGGAATTTTGGTGAACTTTCTTTTTCAAAAATGGCTCTTCCTCCTGCAAAAGATGGCGAGAAGACCTTGGCACTTTGTCGTTTAACAGGTTAGCATTGTAATGTAGTTCTGTTCTGTACCCGTCGCTCGCGTGATCGAGGCGGCAGCTATAAAAAGTCAACGTGTGTAAACTCATTGAAATTGATCGATTCCTTTTCAAGAAAAATCTATTTGTTATGAAACGACGCCAAAATCAGAAATTAGAGTTACAATCAGTACAATTTTGGTCGAAGAGGTTAAAACTAATGACCTAGGATCGAGAAATTTTATACAACAACGAATAATTTCGGCAGAAAAGGGAAAATGTTTCCCAACGTGCACAGCATGCACATGTAAGATGATCTTCATGGTTTATAAAATGGAAACTTTCTACAACTTTTCACGTACACACATACGTGTTTTGTAACAAGTCCATAATTTGGTAACTAGTCCATAATTAGGTCCATGGACCTGGACCAGGTCCACCATGGTTGGACTACATGTAGCTAGCTAGGGGTCAGCAAAATGTACAGACCTGCCTGGGGGGGGGGGGGGGGGGGGGGGGGGGAGATAGGGGGGCCATCTGTTGTGGCTCCCCCCTCTTTGTGTGTTTTCTATTGCAAAACATTAATATGTAATGTTGCAAAATTAATGTTTCCGCCGCCTTGAGAATCCCCCGCTTCCACCCTCTCTTATCTAGCCTGCGAACGCAGACGTATTTCCGGCTCGAGTTTCCCTGTCGAAAATTAATTTTCGGCGAGGAAACTCAAGCCGGAAATACGTCTGCGTTCACAGGCTATCTACTGTCTACTGTAATCCCCCCCCCCCCCCCCCGCATTACTCCCAGATTCCCCCCTGCCCCACCCACATGTATCATACATGTACATGTAAGGTAAAATCTGCATTTGTGTCAAATTAAGTGGCCCACACTTTCCAAGAGCACAACATCATGGAGTATCCTTTGCTCGAACTTGGACTGCTCGATTCAGAGTCCAAATGCAATGCACAAACCATAGTCCAGTGCACTAAACATTAGACCACCGCACCTCCCACTGCCTCCCTGAAAAATCCAATAAAACATTTAGTAATAATTAAAGAGGGAAAACAGGATATTAGACCCAGACGTGCAGAATTCGTTAATAATGTCTGAACAATTCAAGCTACATGTAGTATCTCGTGAAAATAACCCTCTACCATGTACCATAAAATATATACATGTACATGTCGTACACACACAGTAGCCTTTTTATTTTTTTTATTTTTTTATTTTTTATTTTGTCAATATAGCACCATCTTCTCTTCGATTTGAGCCAGTTGGTCGATGGTATGAAGCAAACATTCGCCGGCGTCAACATGGCTTCTCTTCTCATCACTCCAGCTCCAGTGCTAGTTCCAGTGCTAGCTCTGAAGGAGGTTATTCATCTGACGAAGAAGATCATAGATTTCTCCTGACTTTGGATCCGACGGATTGCAAGGTACAGTACATGTAACTCTTTAGCATACATGTATGTCTGAGAATTACTAAGTGCCTATTTACATACATGGAGAAAAGTTGTCCCTGGTAGGAGGGTTACCCTCCTCCTCAGGCCATCTTTTACCAAGCGATTATAAAAAACTTTTGCCATCCATCGTGGGGGTGTGGATTTTTTCTGGAATAACCCAATGTAACTTGGCCTGCTCGACTCTACTTACACAAATACATTACTCAAATTAACTTAATGTTTGTACTATAATTTGCAGCATCAAGATCATTACAAGGTTCTTGGACTTGGAAAACTCAGACACAAGGCTACTGCAGGGGACGTCAAGAAAGCATGTAACTATTACTTATCACTTTGTAATTTAGAATGGTTGCATCTACCCTTGAATTGGATGCTTGTCTGTCGCAGGTTACCCTCCAACATTTTGTTGGATTGCCATAGCAATTTGCCAACTTGTGCTCATTTATACTCAACTTGTGTAGAGAGAAGAGCGGCACTGTTAAGGCCTGATTATATGAGCCGGGCTGGCCCGGTTTGCCGAGCATGTCTGTAAAACACAACAAAAATCAACTTTGCGATTACATGACAATCAGGCCAGTTGGGAGATCCCGGTATCGTGATGCCAGGATCCTGGCTAACCGGGCTGAAAATTTTCCATGTAATCACATTCTCCGGGCCAGCATTAATTTTTTCTTCCAGGCACCCTAGTTACCCGTCCAAAAAAAATCAATATTTCTCTTTATAAATAGGATGTAGAGGTAAAGCAGCCCACGCAGCTGCATAAGTGCAAAAAATAAATCACCAAATTGCTGGAGAAAGGTGATCAAGATCATGCATCCGACACAATCTTCATGCTAGAATCATTCAGCCAATATATACCAGGCTGAAAGTGATCTTGGCGAACCTGGCCAGTTCGGCTCATGTAATACCGGGCTGAGAGTCGGCAAACTGCGACAGCTCGGATAACCGGGCCAGCCAGCCCAGCTCATGTAATCAGGCCCTTAGTGTACAGTGTCCTCAAGTTGCCCAAGGACATAACAAACAGATCTGGTCAGTGTTTGTCCTGAACACTTCTTTATAAAGTTTTGACTTATCTTTTCTTGTGTTCAATTGTGTTTTTCAGTTAGGAAGAAAGTACTCAAACATCATCCAGACAAAAAGAAATCAAAACCAGAGACTTCAGATAAGAAGCTTTCTGACGAGGATCTTTTTGCTTGTATAACCATAGCGAATGACATTTTAAGCAACAAAGAGAAGCGACGAGCTTACGATAGTATTGATCCACTGTTTGATGACTTCATTCCTTCTGTGAATGCCAACTCGCGAAGTAATTTTGTAGAAGTATTTGGTCCAGTGATTGAAAGAAATGCAAGGTTAGTTTTCATTTAAATTTACTGAACACCTTATGTGCTATAAATTGAACAGAGTGGACCATGTTAATCAGATTTATTTATTATTTAATATTTATTTTTTGTGTGTTTTTCTTTTTTCTGTTAATGAGTTGTATAAGGGGTGGTGAATGGTCTTTGAAAAAATACGGGTCTCGCAAAATTTTAGTCGCATTTCATGGGTCTAGCAGTCTCGTTTTTTGAGCGGTTCCGTATGTCTCGCAGTCTCGATTTTTTTGCAAAGCCGTTTTGGAGTCTCGATCTTGGTCTCGCAATCTAAAAACTCACAAAGTCTCGGTCTCGCAGAGAAAATCGCTAGTCTCGCCGTCTCGCAAAGTCTCGAATTTACCATTCGCCACCCCTTGTATTATACTGTATCTATATATAAGTAGACATGATTCCCAACTTGGTAGAATTAAATTGCCTTGACCTTTAATTGTAAACAGTTGTACTATTATTTAGCGGCCCAGTAGTATTTTGGATAAATTATGCATGTTAGAATCCTCAAGGATTTTTTGGTGCAGTATTATTTCTCAATAAAATCTTAACATTTTCAAAAAGGCCAGACTGTGCCCAACTTTATACAGTTTGTATACCCGTCCAGTACTTCAGTCTGAAAATCATACATGTATGTATGATTTTGTCTGTTTTCATTTTGCATTGCAGATGGTCCAAACGTCAACCAGTCCCACCTCTAGGAAATCATAAATCTACATTTGAAGAAGTTGATAATTTTTATAGTTTTTGGTAAGCTTGCTGTTGATGTTCAAGGATTCCTCCCTATTTCAAATTACAAGTTTATTTCTATTTCTATTGTTTTTCATGTTTGCTTTCCTTGTAGGTATAACTTTGATTCATGGAGAGAATATTCCTATCTTGATGAAGAGCAAAAAGAAAAAGGGGAAAAGTAAGCGTTGCGTTATGTACATGTATACATGTATCATTGTACACAAAATTATAGCAGGTTATTACAGATGTCAGCGGTTTGTCATGCAAACAAGGCGAAAGGGTCAATCTGGTATTGTTAGCCGTTTGACTTGCAAACGAGGCGAAATGGTCAATCTCGCATTGTATTGGCCCATTAGTCTCATTTGTAGGCTCGATTACCAGCCGCTGTTCGGGAAAATGAGCCAAAACGAAGACCAGACTCGAGAGAGCAGCAGAAATCGAACCTAACTCGTTTGCATACTTTTTAAACACAAAAGAATATTTGACCACGGGCTCAACTGTAATAACAGCTATTCCAGGCTCAAAATGCATAATAATTTGGTGGTACATCACTTGAGGCATTATAGCCTTTAATAATAGTTGATGATTTTCTTTAATCTTGTCACCTGCCTGTACATGTCTGGCTGCTTGGCAAGGTATAACATTAATAAATGGTGAAGTCGACACTCGGGCCAAACTAGCCCAGTACACTGCTGGAGCTTATTCTGGTTTCTGTAGCATGAAGCCGACTAGGAATATTGCTACTCTTCCTGGATGGGATACAAGTCCATCACAGGTTTCCCCCCAGCATTTTGTCACTGGTACCCATTTTATACTCCAGGGCCGGGTTGTTCAAAGAACGATTACGCTAATCCAGGATTAGCGAGAATTTTTATTTCAGTTTTGCAGCTTTTCAGTGAGGTTTCTTGTTTATCTTTTTGTCTTTCTGTTTTGACTTTGACTAATCTTAAATTAACAAAACATGAGAAGAGAAAAACACCTTTATACAAGGGATCGTAAAAGTTTGTTTAACTTTTAATCCTGGATTAGCGTTAATCGACTTTCGAACACCGGGTCCAGGGTAGAGAGAGGCACTGTGAGTGTAAAGTATCTTATCCAAGAACACAACACAGCGACCCGGCCAGGGTTCAAACTTGGAACCACTCGATCCAGAGTCCAACGCACTAACCTTTTGGCCACCGCATCTCCCCCTAATGTATAACATTGTAAGGCAGAAAAAGTTGAAATTCATTCTGTTACATCAGCCAGATATTATTTGATTTCTTTGTAATGATCAGGTCCTTCATTCTCATAACCTGTCTATAAAAAGTGAAGACAGGTTAGGGATTGATCGCAACAGAGGATTAAATATTATTATGAAATAAATGAGTAAAGCAATGCTTAATTCTATGCATCCATGTTTATCGGCAGCCGTGATGAGAGAAGATGGATTGAAAAACAAAACAGAGTAATGAGACAAAAAAGGAAGAAGGAAGAAGTCACTCGTATTAGGAATTTAGTTGGTAAGTATTTTTGCCTCAGCTACTGTGGTCCATTTCATAGTCAAGATTTACAATGTATGTAACTTATTTTTGATGTACAATGTGTAATACATCTAATCATGATTCGTAATGTTTTACTTTTCCCTTGCTGTAGATAATGCTTATTCATGCGATCCCAGAATAAAGAAGTTCAAAGATGACGAAAAAGAAAAGAAACTTGCAGAGAAGAAAGCAAAAGAAGAAGCTGCCCGGGCGGTGGCAGAAGAAAAGAACGAGTGAGTAAAAACCTTGAGTGCTTTTGTGAAATGTTTGTTCTTTAAGTTCTCTTTTGTGACTATAATCAAACTATGTAAATTTCATGTGAAAGGTTAATTTGCACCTGAACTCGCTTTGAACCTGAGGCAAGCAAAAACTTGTAAAAGTCTATAAATTTCAGTGTCTAATAATTAGACACTAAAAATATTTGTTCCATTTTGTTCGTTAGCAAAGACTTGAAGTTCTAGAAAATGAACGAAAGCTGAAAGAAAAAGAAGAAAAAGAAGCAAGGGAAAAGGTGAGTAGTTGTTATACTAGCATCATAGGCATGCAATGCGTGCAAAGCATGATAAGTCTTGTATTTGATCAGTTTGTTACAAAAAAACTAGACTGTTTGCAGTCCCTTTTATGTGGTGAATGGGGCATGAGGCGAGAGCCATGAGTGGGACCCACTCTCCTCTCAACGATATCAATAAATGGAACTATTTGAGCCTTTCTATTTTTATTTTTATTTTTATTTTTAGGCACAGGCAGCCAAAGTAGAGAAAACCAAGATGAAGAACATAATGAAGAAAGAAAGAAAAACAATACGAACTATAATAAAGGTACACCACTGTCCAGGGTTTTCAAATGTTGATTGTTTTATGATGAAGTAGCTGCCCGGCTGTGAGAGGGAAGCTACAGGCAAGATGGGTAAATATGGAATATACAAAATTTAATGCTAGCGAATAATTCATTTCAGTTGTCAAGCTGAAATGTGCACAAATGTGTGATACACGTCATAATCGATGTCTGGGTTTGGCCGTCAAACAGCGTGATTGCGCGAAATGACCAGATGGCAGTATTTCAAATAGCATAGAGTACCCATGTGGAGTAACGTTAATTTTGCGACGATTAAATTTAGCGCCACTTAATTTGGTGCATTTTAATTTAGCGATTTTTTTGAAAAGTCGCTAAGTTCGCTAAATTAAAATGTCGCCAAAATTTCATGTAATAAGGTAGATGCGCAGTGACCTAATGGGTAGCACATTGGACTACAGATTCAATCACTGGGCAAGGTCATTGTGTTGTGTTCTTGGGTAAGACACTTTACTTTCACAGTGCCTCTCTCCACCCAGGAGTATAAACATTGTGTTGTGTTCTTGGGTAAGACACTTTACTTTCACAGTGCCTCTCTCCACCCAGGAGTATAAACATTGTGTTGTGTTCTTGGGTAAGACACTTTACTTTCACATTGCCTCTCTCCACCCAGGAGTATAAACATTGTGTTGTGTTCTTGGGTAAGACACTTTACTTTCACAGTGCCTCTCTCCACCCAGGAGTATAAACATTGTGTTGTGTTCTTGGGTAAGACACTTTACTTTCACAGTGCCTCTCTCCACCCAGGAAATTGTCATCAGGGCAACCTGACAAAAATCCTGCGTATAGTAGCTTAGCCGCAACTAGCATCCCATCCCAGGTAGAAAAGCGATACTTCTCTAGTCGCTTCATGGTAAGGCTACCCAGGCTTGAAGGCATACTTTGCCTTTACCAAACAGCTTCCCAGCCTTCTGACTGGGTATATTTTTACATAAATAAGAGATATATATTTGCCTGTTTTTATTTCCAGAATTATGAGTATTTTGTGGAAGATGAAGAGTCAAGAATACGGGAAATGGAAGTCATGGACCGACTACTGGAAGTTATCTCACTAGAAAAGTAAGTCATACGCGATCAAACCATTTGTAGGACTCTTTAGCTTTAATAGTTTCATTAAAATTATTTTTTTAGAATATTAAATAAATTGAAGTTGTTGTTTTTTTTTGTTTTTTTTTGTTGAAGTTAATAATCTGAGAATTATGAAACTGAAAAAGGAAACTGTCGAAATTAAGGCTCAACATGGTTCGAGGGAAAATATATCGGAATCCAAAATTGAGATAAAAAAATGTTACACTTTATTTGTTTTATCGTAACTATTCCTACTATTTATTGTTTTAGTTTACAGTCTTTCCGAGAAGGTCTTGAGAAAGCTGATTCAAAAGACGGAATTAAAGAAATTTATGAGAAGGAGGTAAGATAACTCTGCTATCTAAAAAATTATCATTTCTGCATGCCGTTATATTCCTGTAAAAATAGCGAATTTAAGGTCCACCCGCACTGTAGCCTGCGAACAGGCTTTCCGGGCGCACTCTCCCAAAACCCCATGAGAGCTTGTTCGCAGGCTATCCGCACTAACACGTTTTCATTTGAAATGGATACTGTTTGATGTGTTTCGCTTATCTTCCAAATTCCAGGGGACGGACACTTCCAAAAAATGTTCCCCAAAGAAAAAGAAAAGTTAGAGACTTTTGAAAACACAGCTCTATCATTTTGGTTTGCGTGGGTGAAAACGGGGACTTTCAACGGAATTCCAATTACATACTCGTTATACATGTCAGACCCCCATCATAAAACGGTAGTGTCTCTGATTGGTTGTTGCTCGGTTTTAAATTTTGGCGCCAATTAACAACCAATCAGAGACACTACACGGGTCTCTGTAGAGCTACTGTACGTCATCAGTATGGAATTTTTCGGCTCGAATCTCGGACGTATCGAGCGGGGAATTAAGAATAGTCCATTTCCGAGTTGCCTTTTGCCTCTGTTTCAAAACGAGTCCTGGTGCACAACCTTTCAAATGGAAATGAGTTTGATTTGTAAGCCAATAAACGTGCAAGTAAAACTCATTTCCATATGAAAGGCTGTGCACCAGGACTCGTTTGAAACCGAAGCAAAAGGCAACTCGCGGAAATGACCTATTGGTGGTTTGCAAGTGACGTCAGCTGGAGGTCATTAACAAAAGATTTCTAATTGGCTTCTATTGTTTGTACCCCAACATGGCCGCCGCGTCTTTGTCATTTGAATCTCTCGGATTGGTTGCAAACCAGCAATTGAACGTGTGAAAAGAGACGTCTGTATACATACCGCAGTGAAGCTTTGCTGTTGGACTTGGCAATGTGATTTCATTTGCTGATCGTTATTTTAACACTTTTCTTAGATGGAGCAAATGAGAGAAAGAATGAGGCAAGAAGCCATCGCAGAAACTAAACAGACTACGAAGAGCAAAGATGATGATGAAGTAACCAGTGATGATTGGACAGAGGATCAAACACAGCTTCTGATTAAAGCTGTTAATCTGTTCCCGGCTGGGACCGCTTCAAGGTACATGTACAACAAGCAGCCTCCTCCTCAGGCACTTCGCATTTGTTTTTTGCGATTGGACGAGCGACTGGGCATGAGCCCGAAGCGCGAGGGACCATGGGAAGGGGAAAGACGAGACGCGAACGCGACCTTTCGCCTTCCCTCCTTCCTTTGCGCGCCCATTTTCTTGGAAATAAGAGAGACGTCTGGGTACGAGGCTGTATAACAAGTGTATACAGTGGAGCCTCTACTTTGGGACACCTCATTTACAGCAAGGCACCCAAAAGTGTGGCCACTTTAAATTAATTCACATTCTTTCGTGCGTGCAGACTACCCAATCAGAAGCCGAAGAATAGCTATCCTTGACTTCTGATTGGATAGTATACGCGCACGAAAGAATTTGTGAATTAATTAACAGTGGTCACACTTTTGGTCGCCTTGCTGTAAGGGGACACAAACTTTTGTCCGGGCAAAATTAACGCTCATAATCTTTGTATCTATTAACCTCTATAAAGGGATAATGGGACACTTCTCCTTGTCCTGAGGGTGCCCCGTAATGGAGGTTCCATGTAGTTGATTTTTAACAATTACTGACTATTTAGGCCGAAATTAATGTCTGTGTTTATTGGCGTATTTTGAAACAAAACGCGTCTAAAATGAACGCGAATGAGAAGGTAAGTTTTCTTGGTGAAGGAAATTACGAATGTCGAGTTCGAAGAGAACACTCTAGTCTTAACAGGAACAACAACAAAAACAACAACAACCACAGAACAGGAAAAGAAAAGCACGTCTGCGATAAATGTGGACACTGTATTCAACAAACAAATATTGTTTGTTGAAAAAGAGCCAAAAGAGCCAAATCATTCGATGGAGGAACTTGAGGTCTTGTAAAAGACCGGGTGAAAGTCAATCACTAGAGTCGGGATACTGGGCGAATATCTACTTATTTTTCTGTGTTATTTATTTGTGTTTTGGTTCTAGATGGAAAGTGATTGCTGATTATGTCAATATGCACGCTAAGACGGGCACTCTACGCGACTCTAAACACGTGATCAAGAAAGTCAAGAATTTACAGAAGCTAGGTAATGTCAAGTCAAGAATAAGCCACTCTAGAAACCTCGTGGAGGCTGGGCACCAGCGTTTTGCACTAGGGATTCTGGGATGGTTTGAGTAATCTGCGTGAGTTCTGATTGGTCGGTGATTTCCAAAGGCAACCAATCAGAGCTCACGTTGATGCCTAAACGATCCCAGAAATCCTAGTGCCGAATGGTGGTTGTCAAGATATCAATTCCC